GCATGGCTATGACTGAACGTAACAATAATTTCTCATTAACCAGCCCAGACCATTTAGGATCCTCTGTTATAAGATTTTAGAGAAAAGCATAAAAAGTGATTAATCCAAGCAGAAATTTGAAATGCAATATTTCTTGTCATATTCTGGAAAAACCCTTTTGTATAGTTACAGCAACAAGCACTTCAGCAAATAGAAGACAGTTAATCATTTCAAATAATGCCAGATCCAGGTGAGATTATCCCCTGACAGACTGGGCTCCGGTTCACATGCTTTTGCTGATGCAGCTGCTCTTGTTTGATGCTTTAGAAAGGTTTTTGATTTATAGTTGAAGTTAAAATTACCAGAGAATTTAAAAAGCAGCACAAAAGCCATATGCATTTTTCTGTCACCATCTCAGAATACAGTCTTCTTATTTTTGCCTGAGTAGGTGAAATCTAGATATGGCTAAAAAGAAAAAGAAAATTAACAGTTTTAACCTGGAAAACATCCCTGAACTATATGAGATATTTTAAAGTAATGACGTGAAAACATAACAACCAAAACCCTTTTAGTTTCTATAATCACTTTTACAGGGGGGGAAAAAAAGAACAAAGAAGGAAAGGCAAAAACACAGACATTTTTTCAGTGTGGCTTGATTCTATTTGCTTTCCTTGCCAAAGCTGCATCCTATTTACTAGTGTCTGTACACATGCAGAAAAATGAAACCAGATATTGTTTGCTAAAGACCAGAAATGAGGTTTCCTTTCATCTGGCACCATATAGCTCTTAGGCCATGCTCCTAACAGAAGCAATCACCCACTGATGGGTTTAGTTTTTGTTGTTTTTTGTTTTAAAACAGTCTCCAAAAATGTCTCTTTAAAGAACCAAACATCTGTGTCTTTTCAGTTCTTGAACAAGGGATTTTTCATGACAGCAAATAGATATCTGGCAATTCTGTGTCAGATTACTTTCATAATTGATGGCATTTTTCTAATTATTTTTAATTGGGGTAAAATGCACATAGCAAAATTTACCCTTTTAACCACGTTAAAAAAGGTGTGCCCATTATTGCTCTAAAGACTTCAATAAGCACAATTCAGATAGTGCACAATTTCTATTTTCAATAGAAAAAGTGACTTAAATAAACTATTTCCATGATCATTTTTCAAAGTCTATTTTCATCCTCACATTAACCAAATATTTACTAAAATAGTAAATATGCTAGTAAAGAAATCAGTAGCTTTTGAGTTTCCTCTCTTGTTTCTACTCAGTCTTTTCACTGAAGGGTGAGCAGAGTTTGAGCCAGAAGTAAAGGCCATAGGGAGGAGCAGCAAGACTCCTATGAACACAATCAGTACTTAGCTCTCTGAATACTCTAGAGTTGACAGATTAGAGAATGAAGCCTGTAATTTCCAGCTCCAACGAATAGGTCTAAGGAGGAGGTAATAAACAGCAAAAACAAAATAAACTTCTGAAAACTCTTCCTACCTCATGGGGTTCTCTTCAGAGTTTTACCCCCCCCCCAAAAAAAATCCTTTTATGTTTCATTAAATCTCCTAATTCTTAAAGGTGAATTCCTCTCAATGGTAAACCAAGATACAAATCAATACTTCATCCATGTTAAGACAGTAATGAATTCTTTGAAATTGTTCTTGAAGAAGCTCCTTCTGCCTAATTGAAGGGATGATTTTAAAGAAGGAGGAGGGAGAACAGTGTGGGGGAAAAATCCCTTTATTAAAGATCAAAAAGTCAACTCAAGTTTAAAATTGACAGAAACACCCATTTTGTCATATTTAAACCACATAGTATCTCTGGCTGGGAAGAGTAGGCCAACACAGACCAAGCTCAGGACGGACTGGGGATCAAACATAGCCATCTGCATACACGCAGGAGAATGTCTCTAGTATCTACCTACAGAATACAAATAACGCAGCTACATACCAGATATTGTTTGCAATGAACACAGTTAAAAGATTTAGTTCCAGACCTCCCTGGTGGCGCAGCAGGTTAAAGCACAGCACTGAGAATCTAAAGCCACTTCGGCATGAGTTCGATTCCTGCCTGCCCTGGAGGAGCTCCACATGGCGAGGCAGACCTCTCCTGACCCGCCCGCTGCTCCCCTCAGCAGTGTACTTCGTTCATCTGCCTGTTCTGTTTCCCACACTGTTTCTGGTGAAGCCTCTCACCACCCCTGAGCCTCTGGCCTGTACCCCAGTTCTGTATGAACAAATAAAATCTTTAAAAAAAAAAAAAAAGATTTAGTTCCTTTTTTTTCTACCCCTACACAATAAAATCTTTGCAAAGATTTGACATCCTTTGACATAATAATATCAGTAGCAATACATATAAAGTATATTCAATTTTACAAAGTACATTTTAATCAAAGCTACACATATTTTCTGACCTTTAAGAGCCCAAAGAATCAAAATAGTTATTTCAACAGTGAAAAATACAATAAACAAGCAATCTCATATCAAATATAAAGCTGGCTCTGAATATTTTTTGTATTTGAGGTTGACATAAGTAGTTTATTCTGTCTGGAAATTTTAAATCAATTGCCAAATGTAAATGGCACTCTTGAGCCTATGCCAGAAGTAGGTTTCTTAGCCTTCTAAACCTCAGTACTACTCAATAGCAACTAAAATATTCAGGTCAATTTAAATATCTCTGTCCTTGCCAAACTTTTTGTTTACAGAACTTACTCTAAAAATAATAATGAATGATCAGTAAGGTTAAAACTGCACATTCAAGAATAAATGTATAAATTCAGGAAGCTAAAAGAACCCTGGCATACCTAGATAAAATGAGGTCAACACCAAGACATATTGCAGTGAAATTTCCAAGGGTTCAGGACAAAGAAAGAATATTGCAGCTGGCTAGAGAGAAGCAGATAACATATAAAGGTACCAGATCAGACTTCTCTGAAGAAACCTTACAAGTGTTAGAGAATGGAATAGAGAGGAGAGACTGGGATAGAGTGGACAGAATGGAATGGAGTGTTCCAAAACCTTAAAAAGAAAAACTTCCAACCAAGAATAGTCTATCTTACAAGATTCTTCTACAGATGTGAGGTAGGAATAAAAGCCTTTTCATATACAAAACAAATATTAACAAATGCACAAAGATTGAAATCATACCCAACATCTTTTTATACCATAAAGGTTCCAAACTAGAAATAAATTATTAGGAGAAAGCAGGGAAATCTTATAACACAGCACTGAAAGACCACCAGGCTAAAAAGGAAATGAAAAATAAATTTAAAAATACCTTGAGGCATGAAAACAGCACAAAACCCTCCAAAACTTATGGGGCGCAGCAAAATTAGTTCTAAGAAGGAATTATATAAATACATATTAAATAGAGTAATGCAGGGTAATATCAATGAACAAGAGAGATCTCAAATAAAGAAACTTCTTTCTCAACTTGAGGAATTAGGGGGGGGAAGAACAAATAAATACAAGAGCTAGTAGAGGAAAAGAACTAATGAAAATCAAAACAGAAGTAAATGAAATAGAAAATAAGAAGTCTAAAAGATCAATGAATCAAAAGTTGGTTCTTAGGAAAACAGACAAACCTCTTGCAAGACTCACCAAGAAAACAAGGGGAAAATATCAAATACATAGAATCAAAAATGAAAGAAGAGAAATCACAACAGATGCTGTAGAAATTCAGAGGATAATTAGAGATTACCATGAACATCTACTTGTGAACAAATTCAATAATGTAGGAAAGATGGACAAATTCATAGAATTATACAATTATCCAAGACAGAATAGGGCAAAAGTAGAAACCCTGAACAAACCAATAACAAGCAAGGAAATTGAAACAGTAATCAAAACTCTCAAAAAAATAAATAAATAAACCCAAGATTCCAGGACTAGAAAGCTTCATAAGTGAATTCAACTAATCCTTCAAAGATGAACAAATGCCTATCTTGAACTAATACATCTACCTTGCTCAAATTCGCCAAAAATTAAAAAACAAGCAATACTTCGAAATTCTTCTGACGAGAACATTAACCCAAAATAAAAAAATAAAAAGAACATAGACCAGCCACACAAAAATCCTTAATAAAGTCCTAGCAAACCAAATTCAGCAATGATTTAAAGGAACATACACCCTGACCAAATGGGATTTATACCAGAAACAATAATGGTTCAATAGCCAAAATATTTGCACACCATAGATCTGACAAAAAATATATAGAGAACTCATGACATGCTACAATAACAAGACAAATAACCCAGTTACAAAATGAGAAAAGATAGACATTTACCCAAAGAAGACATTCAAACAGTCAACAAATGCAGGAAAAAGTTCAGAACTTATTATTAGAGAAAAGCAAATCAAGACCACAATGAGATACCATCTCACACCTGTAAGAATGGTCCATATGGAAAAGACCAGAAACAAGTACTGGTGAGGATGTGGAGTAAAGGTAATTCTACACTGGAATGTACTTCCAGCCCTTAAGTGTCTCAAAACAACAAAAACTGATCTGCAATTAACCCAGTAATTCCACTCCTAAACATCTACCAAAACAAAAAATTCAAAAATACTAATTCAAAAGGAAACTTGCACTCCCATGTTTATTGCAGCACTATATTATAACTAAATTATAAAAACAACAGAAGTGGCCCAGGACAGAGGAGTGCATCAAGAAGATCTGGTATAGATACACAATGGAGTATTACTCAGAAATCAAAAATGATAAACTCATACCATTTGTGGCAACATTGATGGAGCTTGAAGGGATACCCTTCGTAGCTGACTATAGAACTGAAGCACCAAGGCAGGGAGGGAATAAAGGAAACGTAACAACAAAGTGGGAAGGAAACACAATAGTGTGGGTGAATGGGTGGTGAGGGCATGGTGGCAGGGTTCCCCATATTACATCAACTATAAATAAATAAACAACTTTTAAAAAACTGCCTTAAATTGCTCAACCCTTGGTTTGCCTTTTTTTGTTTTATTTGAGTATGCTCACTTTACTTAATTTTAAAATTAATGAAAACTCTCACCTTGTGATGCCCAAATTCATTCAAAATGGTTCCCAGTTTTCTGGTGTTGCTCTGTGGCTTGTGGGCAGCAACAGCTGGATGGGGATCTTTCCAGTCAATGCACAGGCGGTGATACCAAAGACGCTGACTTTCCAAAATGTGAGCTGATTTGACACTAGGGTCAAAACGATGCACTTCGCATCCATTGTTGGCCATGCTGACCTCAAAGTGAGTGTCATCATTTCCCAGCCTATAAAGTAAATCAACAACAAAATATATTCTACCAAATGGTGTTAACTAGCAAAGAACTGAAGGAGAGATGAAAAAGACTGACCTATGTATCCCTTCTCAAATTTTCGCTTCCACTCCCACTCCTACTCTTAAAATACAACTCTTGACATGAAGAATAAAATCAGTGAGTGTCTTTACTTCACTTTAGCTACCACACTCTTCCCCTTACCTCCCCTCCATCTCCCCACAACATCCCTCCACTAGACACACAAGATTTACAGGGCAGGCATCACCTAAAATTGTACAATAGACAATACAAGTTTCTTCCACTTTGCAAAAGTAGAATGTTCCTATTTTGGTATGTTTTAGTAGGTTATTGGGAAGTTTGGAAAGACTCAAAATGTTTCCCATATAAATTAATAGTAACAGTATTCCCAGATCTGAAAAATAACCTACCAAATCATACCAAATAGAAATGTTCTGCTGTTGGATAGCAGGGGAACCCTGGACTATCATCTGAACCCACAGACTCTCCTCCTTGCACTTCCCCTTTCCTGTAATATAATCATCCTCTTCATTGCTCTCCCCTATTTTAATTGGCCTGTTATACCCAATTTTGACACTGACAAGTATCTGATTTTAATTTTCATCTAAATTTCAGCGTTTACTCTTCTGGGGGGAGAAAAAAATCTCTTGTACTGACTGGAATAAAGGCTTTGATTCCTAGTAAAGAAACTTCAGACATAAAAGTTAGGTGATACCTGCTTCAGGTCGTGGGGGTAGCGGGGAGGAGGGAAATTGATCAGAAGGCAGGAAAGTTAGCTTTGTCTTCTCAGTTCCGATGTCCTCAGATCTCTTCCTTCCTCATGACGGGAACGTTACTCCCAGTTGCAGTAACATGCATTTTCTTGGTTAGGATGGGAAGGACTGGACAGAGCAGCATGGTGCTACAGCACTGGGGCATGGAACACATGCTGCCTGGATGTAGGGTCCACAGCCCGCCTGCCACCCACCCTCGCCACTTGTCTAGCTACTATTCCATCACACCCAAATGGTCCCAAGACCCTTTCCTATTCTTGCATCTCATTCCAACAATACCACTTCTCATGTTCTTGTTCTTTAATGTCCCTCACCATCAACTACATCAACTGACATATTGTCAGCTGTCTATTCTCCTGTCCCCCAGAAAAGTAATTCACCTGAGAAGAGGGGAAATGCTAGACTGGAGCCTCGATCCTGAGGAACAATGAAGTCTAGCACATATATTCACAGTGTAAGTTTTTTTAAGCTATGAGAAGTATTTTCTTTAATTTACAGTTTTCAATTAAGCATTTTCAGATTTTGAACCAAATGTTGGTCCTTATAACCTTATAGTCTAATCATCTCCTTCCCCAGTGGAATTCAATTGTTCTTAAGTGCTCTTATAAAGTTGATTTTAAACTGTGAACATTTAAATGAAAATAAGAAACTACCATTTTACATCTAATAGTCTGATTTTTATAGCAGAAATGTCTTATTTAATGGTTTTGAAATAGAAGCAAAAAGAAATTTTAAAAAACTTCTCCAAACCAGCTTACCCAACATATATACTCAGCTATATGCTTTAAATTAAATTATTGTAAGTTGTAAAATATTCAGCAAAATATAAAGGCAGCTTGGAGCAAGAAAATTGGACCAAATGAGATCTTGAATTTCCATGTGATACCACGCAATTATTTTTATGACCTACTTTCATACATTTTTAACATGATATAAAATAAACTACTGTCGTAACTCCCCATTCTTCCTACAATTGTGAAGTATAGTTGGTGGATTCCCAGAAAAAGAACTCTGTTCTAATCAACTTGGTTAAGTGACTCATTTCCTAATCCTCAGCCTGAAAGTTTGGTTTTGTTTGTTTTTATTGAGGGAATTGGTTGACAACACTGTAAATTTTAGGAATACAAATTCACACCTTTTCAAATTAACCATGTTACCATGTAAGCACACCACACCCACCATGAAAGCATTCACAATCCTCCGCCATAGTCCAATGGGCTCCTTGCACTCTTTGCTCCCCTTCCCCCACCTCTGGGAACCTCAGTTCTCCATTTGGATTCCACGGACTTGCTTTGTTTTGATCTCTTATTTTGCTTTGTTTCTTTATATTCCACATATGAGTGAAAACATCCCATATTTCTTTCTTCTTCTGATTTATTTCACTTAGCACAATCCCCTCATTACATCTGCATTGTAGCAAATGGCCAGATTTCATGTCTCTTTATAGCTGAGTAGTATTCCATTGCATATATATACCACCTCTTCTTTATCCAATCGTCTGTCTTGGCACTTAAGTCAATTCCTATCTTGACCACTGAAAACTCTCTAGGTTTAAATCACTGGCATTACCAGCTTTCCTCCCTAGTTTTCTTACCTCAAGCAATCATTATGTAGTAAATATTTACTCTGTACCAAGCTCAATAATATATGCTATTGATTTTCATTTAACCCATAGAAAAATATTTCCAATAGCCTGAAACTATCACCTGAACATTTCATTAAAAAAAAAAATCTGCAATAGCCGTAAGAATTCTTGTTTGGTAAAGTTTGACAGTGATGGTGCACCTCTACAATCAAGACCTTTGTAGGGCTCCCATACCCTGGAAGAAGGTCTGTCCTCAGTCAGTACCATTTAGGGTTCTGGTCTGCACTTTTACTCATGAGCCTGAAAAGAATTTATAGACATGATGAAACCTATAGGTGAGGTGTGAGCATGTGACCCTTGTTAGGATTCCCAATACTCTTGTAAAGAACTTCCAGGAACTAGCTTGAGATCCTAACTGCAAAACTTATATGAAATATATAGGGTAAGGGAGTCCCAAACAAAAATAATTCTCTCCTGCCTTTTATTGAGACATATATTATTTATAAATTCAGGAATATTTATATAAATGGTGGTATATATTTGGTGAAAGAGTAGCATTACTACATACTCACCCTTCTACAAAATATCTCAATTCACTCATACTTCTGGGTGAATTTCAGACTGAATAACTAGATATTTATATTTCCCACAGTTTTATGGGAAAAATCACATGGTATCTGTAAGTATTTCCTTCTCTTTCTTTCATTTTTTTTTTTTAAGATTTATTTATTTATGTATACAGAACTGGGATACAGGCCAGAGGTGCAGGGACGGTGAGAAGATTCATCACACACAGAGCACGGAGCAGAACAGGCAGATAGATGAAGTACACTGGTGAGGGGAGCAGCGGGCCGGTCAGGAGAGGTCTGCCGGGCCATATGGATCACCTCTGGGGCAGGCGGGGATCAAACTCATGCGGAAGTGCCTTTAGCTTCTTAGTGCAGTGCTTTAACCCATTAAGCCACCAGGGAGGGCCCCTCTTTCTTTCATTTTTAATGGCAAAGTAGGTACAGACTGGTGCAGAATTAAAAATGCAACCGTGGCCACTGGTCTTGGGTTACTCATCATAACCATGTATAAAATTTCTAATGTACTTACTGTTTTCTTTTTTCTAGGTGCAGTTAATATTCTTCTCCCTTTATAAAGGTGATCTCATTCTAGTTGGAGATCACTGGCTTCACCAACAGGATCCTCCTCATGCTGAAAACTGAAGTACCAGTAGAATGGGGGAAAGCGTGGTCATGACCACTTTGGTGACTTGCAAGCCCTAGCTACCCAGCAGGGAGGTGTGTTGAAATGATGACAGGAGGTCAAGTGTAACACCTGTCATACAGTGCAACCACTCATCACTGTGCATGGCTGGAAAAGATTTAGCTGCCGACAGGAAGGGTTTTTGTTTGTTTTGTTTTGTTTTTTTCTGCTGCTGTAAAATTACTTACCCTAAAGAGTAGAGGCGACACTGCTTGTTGCGGATTTGATGAGCTAAGCCAAACCTGTCATCAAGACAGACTGACCAGGGCTTCTTTGCAGGGCTGGAGTCAGTAGCCAGGCTGTCTGTGCTCATGTGATTGCATGCAATCTGTAAGGATTGGAAATCAATGTCAATAATTTAAAGTGTTGTATGATAAGTGGCAGGTAGAGACTTACTGCTTCCTCAGTCCCCGAAAATCATATTGAGAGAGTATGTTCTTCTCCACAGTTAGCTATTCCCCTCCCCAGGGAAACACAAGACTGCTGTAAAATGTCTGGAGCAGTTCCAAATACCAGATTATAAGTAACCTCATGGAAACTCTAAGCGGGTTTGAAAGGAAGTTAAGAACGATCACCACATGCATTGCGTGTGTGCGGAAAAATAAATCAGAAGCAAAGATGGGAGGAAGAAGCAGCAAAAGATTTGCAGTGATGTGTTAGTGTTGGGGGATGAACAGAAGTTGACTGAAAGGCTGACACCAAAGAGGGATTCCAGGTACCAAGACAGGTGCTTGCACAAACACAGAAGTCTTTGTTACCCAGTCAGTATTCCCAATGGAAGCTGTGTGCTCCAACCACAGTGTAAGCTCTCAGTAGGATCCAGGATTACTTATTCCTTATCTTAGGCAGATTAAGTAGGCAGATGAAAGTTGACAAGTGTTTTCTAAAGTAAAGAGCTGATTTAGAGGGTCAAGAAATTAATACACTGTCAGGCAGTGCCTGCTAACAAAACAATTCTCTTTAGCATACTCTGTGTAATAAGCTTCTTTCCGGGGAAGAAGGGCAACAGCCCCCGGCAGGAAGGAGGTTCTTCCTGAGCTAACCAAAGCGCTTCTCTTAATTCATCCATCACAGTTAGATAAGAAAACCAGAGAACGTGCCTCTATCTAAGTTGAGCTGAAGCAAGGCTCTAATTTCCAACCTTGTAAGGTATCCTGACTTGTGTTTGAGGCTGGTATGGTGTGCATGGCTAAGGTTGAAATCAAAGGAGACAAGCCCTGTGACCAACGTATTTACCTTAATGAGCAACAGTATTTGCTCACACTCTCACTGCCACCACACATTCCATGAGTCACGCAGCAGCACTCGTTACATTAGAAACAACAGACCTCTCCAGGTTATAGAAGATGCTCTGAGGTTCATTTCTTTACTACATTGGAACCATAACAGCAAACAATTTTTTTTTTAAGATATTTCTCCCTAAGAGATTCTAGGCTTGCCCAGTGTTATTATTTAACTAATTTTGCCAAAATCTGATCTTCAAAAAAAAAAGGTATTAGGTTCAGCCTATTGAATATGGTATCTCCCTTCCTTCTGCTGTACTCTAGGTCTGTCCAGGCAAAGCCATTCTAGCAAATTTATCAGTGACTGTGAAAGTCTCCTGCTAGGATTTGGACTTTCTATATGGAGAGGAAAGCTCACACAGTGAAACCCTTCATATTTGTTCTCATCAACCATCCCAGTATCTTCCTACTTCTCTATTGATAACCTAAAGAAATACAAATAATAATAGTGAATAATTATAATAATAGAATGTAGAACTGAATCTTCTCTCAAGAAACTAGGATAGGAGCATATTTATTAAGAGCATATCAACACATTAATCTGTGTAATTTCCTCCTGTTCTGGCATGAATAAGTGGAATTATACTTCAGATTGCCTACCTCCCATTCCCTACTCTGAGATGAAAAATCACTAATCTAGTTAACCACAAATCAGTGTGTTCCCTGGGCCTGTTTTGCCAGTGGGCAGGTAATTGCAAACCTCTTTGGCCCTGCACCCTGCAGGCAGTTAGTTAGGCAGGGGCAATTTTGTAGCACCCCCCAAAGCATGCCTGAACTTCATAAGCCTCAGCCATTTGCTCCAAAACAAGTTCCTGGAGTAGTTTTATAAAATTGGAATAAGGATTCCCAACTGTATTGTTCTTTGCACGTCCCTGCCCAAGGGACTCCAGGATAATAACAGATGAAGATATAAAGTCCACAGGTTTTTGCTCCTCATGCCCTGCTGACTCCACTGAAACCTACCTGTAGCCTCCCCACAATGTTTTTCAAGGTGTGGTGCACCTACCTGCCGATGACCCTGGCAGGGTCAAAACGAAGTTCTTGGATTTCACTCCAGATTTGTAAAGTCGGGATCTCGGGGCTGACACACAGGAACATGCATTTTAATTAGTTCCCCCATGTGATGCTGAGGCAGGTAGTTCTGATGCAGGGGGTAAGTTTATTGGAAGCATTTGTAAAGCCCCATGGATATGTTGCAACTTGTCTTATGTATGCCTTAGCAAATTAGGGGATGAGGTTATGCTTTAAGCTGAAAATAGCAGCCCTTCAAACTCATTCCTAAGAAAGGGTCATAAAGGTGAGCACTGACAATTAGCTAGAGGCCTCCGAGAGTCAGGTAAGTACTAGGGTCAAGATTCAGGGGGCTGAGGTTCCGCTGCTCTCCTTTGCCAACATTAGGGAGCAGGGTTTTATTCTATCATGGTTGACAATTTAAGCAGCTCCCCTTCTTCCTATTTCTCCTTTCTGTCTTTGGAATGACATTCATTTAATCTTTCCTTTCCTCTCCTAGCTCAAAAATAAGATGCAGGAGTCTTTTCACTTTAGCCATTTATTAACCATCTCATTGGCATATATTAGCTTTTGAAAACAACTCAGTAGACTTCTACTCCTAAAAATTAATTAAATATTGATTTTTCAAATTTTCTTCTTAAGATTTATAACCAGGGCTTCAATAAACAATCCTGCAAGGAAAACAAGTGAGGGCAGTAACTCCTGGCTAAGCTCCTACTCCAGTAATTATGTTCTCTCTTTCTCTCTAATTCACTTGTAATTTTAGCCATATAAAGCAAATTAGACCTGGACAAAGGAAAATAGACTCCAGGGCAAAGTATCTCCTAAAATGCTTTTCAGTGCTTAAGTTAAAGGGATCCCATTTAAGGACTCCCTGGTGACACCGTGTTTAAAGACAGAGTGCTGTCAAGCAATCACCAACCATTGCAACATGAGTTCGATCCCCAGCTAGGGAGCTGACCCACAGGGCACAGCAGATCTTCCCTGTTTTATCAACTGCTCCCCTCAGCTGTATGTTCCAGTAGATCTGCCCCTTTCTATGCCTCACTCTGGTGAATCCTCTCATTCCCCACACCTCTAGCCTACACCCCCATTCTTGAATGCATAAATAAATAAATCTGTGTTTTTTTTTTAAAGGATACCACTGATTTTAGTTTTGTTTTGTATCTCAAAAGCTTGAATGGCATATCTACCAACCCATAAGTAGAATCTGGCAAAGGGAGCCTTAAAATTTGAGGACTTTGGTCAGGAATCAGTTCAATGATCAACGAAATGTTTATGTAATATCATTATTTTCAAAGTCTCAAGTTTAAAATTATGTTTTTTGTTGCTCTTATAGAATTCATGCGAATATATAAATATAATAGCTACTATTGTTATAAAGTTGTAAGTTCCATACCACAGTCTGTGTTTTTATGTTATTCTTACAAATAGATGGGTAGGTGACCCACTAGAGACGGATGGAGAGAGAGAGATCGTTACATTTTTTTTTTCTTTTTTAAAACACAACTGTTGCTTAGATTAGTTTTGTGCTGCAAGGCATGCTTCCTGGAGGCATATGGTTTGGGGGTTGCCATAAAAAGCTAGATCTGGAGCCTGCCCCTAGAACAGAGCACTGTGTGTTTCAGTTAACCATTTCTTGTGAGCAGCAGGCAATGTCTCATTGACTCCAGAACACTGCGATGTATTCGTGGTCTTTCATATTAAAAAATATTGTCTAATTAAACTGAGCTTGCTGTTCTTCACAGTCTACCCAAATCTTCTGCTGTTTCACTTAAAAATGCAGGACCCCAGCCATGCCATCAGCGTCACAGTGAACAAGTGCAGAAACACCAGCTGCACTGCAGTCTACAGCCACACTGCCCCACGCTCTGCTCCCTCTGCTCAAGTGCCCCAACCTTCTGTACCCCTGTTAGGGAACACATTACTCTCTTACCCTGTAGCTGCATATTAATATGCATAAGTATTTAATTCAGATTTGATGTCCAAGTCAGTGCCAGCCACAGAGCAGGTGTTCAACAAATAATGCCTTGCCAAGTTGAGGAAGGAATACATCGATGTATAGACCTGAACACAGATTTCAGGGAATTTTTTTTTTACTTCACAAAGTAGCAGACGTGAGTGGGGGAGGAATTTGCTTATTACCTTGAGGATTTTTCCATGCCCATTATGACTCACTACTGCTAAGTGAATTTTTGCAATAATAGTGACTCTAATATTCTGCCAGCTTTGTAGGCTTTCATCATCAAGATGAGTTCTAAATGAGGCACAAACCCCCAAGCCAGTCAAAATCTCTTAGTAGCAGAAGCCCTAGTTAGTGAAAGATTCTGATTAACAACCAGTTAGTGTCATCTCTGATGAGCTCTCCGCTGTTGGTCTCCTCATGACCTAGAACCATGTAGAAAGCACAGGACTTTGCCTGGGTAAAATGACTGACTGCATGTTACAAAACCATTGAGAGGCCTGAAACTTTGCCTTATCCTTTCAGGGACACAAAATTCCTTCAAATGAACTTCAACAACCAGATCTTGATTTTCATATTCATCAAGATTAATAACAACTATATGTCTCTTTGCCTGCCTTCCAAACAAGCCTGTTAGCTGCCGCAGGGCAGAGACTGTATCCCCAGAGCCTAAAACAGTTCCTAGCTCTGGGTTAGTAATACTCCTACACTACTCTCAGTACAGTACAAACTCACAGAGCTTGGAGGAACACAAGAAAAACAAAATACAATCTCTTCTTTTTCAAGATCAGGACAATGAGAGCCAAAGAAATAAGATAAATTACCAAAGCCACAGCATCATACTATATTGCAGGAGCTTTTTAAAGAATTTTTCTCCAGGGCCTCCCTGGTAGCACAGGGTTAGTCTCAGCACAATGAGCTATCACCAGCCACTAAGTGTGGCATGAATTTGATCCCCGGCCATGGAGGTGACCCACATGGCACAGCAGACCTCTCCTCTCTCACCTGCTTCTCCCCTCAGCAGTGTATTTCAGTAGATCTGCCTGGTCTGCTCCCCACTCTGTCTCTAGTGACTCCAGTCATCCCACTCCTGCAACTCTGACCTACACCCCAGTTCCTATATGCGTAAATAAAAAAAAAGAATTTTTCTATCATAATTCATGGAAAAGATGTAGAAGGAACTTGGAATAACCTTTTTATGCCTTATGGGCTTCTTTTAAGTAAATATAGGATCTATAAGGTATAGAACATTAACCTGAAATACATTTAAAGTGGAATTTGGAGGCTTTCCCTTGGTCAAACTCAACTCATAAAGTTAACACCTCTCATTTTTCTCTTGGGCCTTTGAGGGCTTCCTCAAGTCACGGTAGGAAGCCCAGTTTCCTAGGCTTTGTGTAAAAGCAAACTATAAAATAAAAATTTCAGCATTTTGATTAAATCTATAAAAATCCACCAAATTAACTTGCACCAGCAAAATAAGATGAAATTATGTAAAACACAAGGAGCAATTTATCATCCTATTTTCATGATGAATGATGAAGTCAGTGGCTTTGGCTTCCACGTCTAGGTGACAAATATTGAAATCCCCGATTACCTGACCGCATCATATGAGAAATGGAACTTTCTTTTACCTCTACGTTGGCCTTCTAAAGAGCTAGAAATATATTCTCTACCACAGATGAAAAATGGCCTTTGTTGCCAGCCAGCTTTCAATGGAACAGGATGCCAGGTGCCAGAGGGCTGAAGGGAGATCAAAGGAACCGTGACCCCCAGGGCCACCCAGATTCCTGAGCAGACCTGGCACCTGCAGATTCCTGAGCAGACCTGGCACATCCCACAGCAGTGTGAATTCCTACTTCATTAGCAACTCTCAGTTCAGGTTCAAGTTTGCCTTGGGTCTTGATTTCCTCTTAAGTCCCTCTTTCCCCAAGATCAGGCTACTGGAGAATAGACTCTCCTGATGAATGTGTCAAGAGTGATAGGCTCTTCTTAAATGACAAAGTCTTTGCCTGCTCAGAGCACTGACTCGGCGTACGGAGCTGGGCAGGGGCTGCCACAAAGTGTTAAGTCACTAATAAATAAATAAAATAATCAAATCATTGCTCAGTAACCATTTAAAGTGCCCAAGGAATAGAGAGCCTTTGGGTTCATTAACTTCGCCTTGGAAAATCCCCCCTGCTCTCTGGCCCAGCCTATCCCCGTCTGCCAAATTTCTGTGGCACAGAAGCAAAAAGGCAGATTCCTCCAAATACAAAATGCAGCTTGAGCTTCCAGATGATGGTTTTGTTTTGTGACACACTTGACTGCCTACTCATGGGCACGAATCTGTCACTTCAAATGGTTTCTTTCCAAAGCAATTTTCTAAAGTGGATCTTTAAAACACATTGAGATGAATCATTAAAACATTTCAGGATGACGATACTCCTGGAAGGGAGAAGACGTTGAAGAAAATGAAAGGCATGTTCTCTGCCTCTAAGTGAATAGATAAATTTAAGCAGCAATGCCACAGAAACCAAGTTCCTATCAAGGCTCTATCAGGAGTCACTGAGATGTTCCCCACTCCCTCACTGACAAATCTTTTTTTAAAAGGAGCCATCAGTGGGCCCTCCCTGGTGGCGCAGCGGGTTAAAGCACAGCACGGAGAAGCTAAAACCACTTCCGCATGAGTTCGATCCCCAGACCCACAGGTGACCCACATGGCTGTGGCAGACCTTTCCTGACCCGCCCACTAATGTCCTCAGCAGTGTGCTTCATCCGTCAGCAGTGTTCTGCTCCCTACTCTGTCTCTGGTGAAGCCTCTCACCACCCCTGCACCTCTGGTCTGTACCCCAGTTCTGGATACATAAATAAACAAATCTTTAAAATAAATAAATAAAGGAGCCATCAGTATCTTTTACATCATCTCCAAATCCACATGAGCATGAAATACAACCTGGGTGGTGCTGATGTATCTCAGGAACCTCAAGGCTTCTTCATCCAGGGACTGAGCAGAGCCTGCCCAAGGCTGGAGATCTATATGCCACCGGGGACCCTATGAGAGACAGAAAACACAGGGGTGTGTGTAAGGGACAAGGAGCTGGGGTGGGGGTGGGAAGGAAGCCGCTCTGCATGTGAAACAAACGTCTGTGCACAGACAGCAGGGGCTGGTGGGAGCGGTAGTCATTAAGGCAGCATCGATCACAGGAAGACAAATGAAACATGAGAAAGCCCAGCTACCAGATTCCACAGAAAGTGAAAGGCCTGGGGACATCTAGGGCTTTTGATCAAATGCAAACTCCACTTGACCCCATCTGGCCTGCCCAACTTCAGCTTTGTATTGCACAGTGCCACTCCCCTCTCCCCCTATCTCCTGTGGTTTCCAAAGCTTAGTGCTTCAGAAATACATGCCCCCTGAGGACCAGTTTGATGTTGCTATTGTTGCTGCACTATAAAGCCTGAAATTCTCAGGACACTTGGGGATCCTCCCCAGCACAGGAAGACTGGGCGGATGCCCACAGGGCTACAGGGTTCAGCTATGCAGTGAGGAACCCCCAGCAGGCCTTCCAGCAGCGAGGCAGCCCCCACCTCTCCACAGAGGAATTGAGAAGCTCCATGAGCAGAGGGTTAAAACCCTGGGCTCCCTTTGGTAGCAAGGATGGAGGAAAGGCCAGGGTTTGGAAGAAACAAAAATGGGGACCCCTGCAGTCAAGGAAACCCCAATCATGTTTTGTGCTGGAGTTCACTGTTCCAACCTCACCTGCCTCAGCCTCCTGGAGGCTGACTGTGATCCCAAAGGTAGAGGATAGGGAAGGACTGGGCACAGGCAGATGCTCCCCAGCAGCCTGAGAGAGAATGTCTAGGTCAGTGAAGGCTTTGGGTGTCTCGGCACAAGGTTCCCAAGTGGCCGAGTGGGTAGGATGGCCCCAATCTCCCTTTTGCAGTGAGAAAGGGACCAGGAAGGACTTTGAGAAAAAGACAAAGGGACCATTTATGTATGTATGCTGTTCTTCAGTCAGAAATTACTATGGTCCAAAAGTCTGTGTCTCCCCCGGATTCATATGGTGAGCTCCTAAAGCCCAATGTGATGGTTGAAGAGGGAGGCTTTGGGTGGTGCTCTGGTCATGAGGGTGGAGTCTTCACGAATGAGATTAAGTTTTTATACAGAGACTCTAAAGAACCCCCTAGCTTTACTGCCATGTGAGAACAAGAGTGAAGGCAATATGAAAGAGAGTCTTTACCAGAACCCAGCTATGCTGGCACCCTGATCTGAGATTTTCACCCTCCAGAACTATGAGCAATAAACATCTACTGGTGATGAGTCAACCAGTCTGGGGTATTCCGTTACGGCAGCCCAAGCAGACTAAGACGGCTATGATGGCAGAAAGTATCGCCCAAAAAAGAAACATCGAAGCAGGCTAGGCCTGACATACTTCAGTACAAATATATTTTATTTTTTACTTAAAAAAAAAAAAACTGTAGTGGCCCTCCCTGGTGGCGCAGCGGGTTGAAGCACTGCATTGAGAAACTAAAGCCACCTCCACATGAGTTCGATTCCTGCCTGCCCGGGAGGTGACCACATGGCGAGGCAGACCTCTCCTGACCCGCCCGCTGCTCCCCTCAGCAGTGTACTTCACCGATCTGCCTGTTGTACTCCCCACTCTGTCTCTGGTGAATCCTCTCACCCTCCACATCTCTGGCCTGTACCCCAGTTCTGTACGAATAAATAAATAAATCTTAAAAAAAAAAACTGTAGTTTTTAAAGTATTAACTCCATCAACAATATGTAAGTAATAAAGTAATAATAGATGGTGTGATTTTAATAAAACCCCAACTGCCCACTTGTTTTGTTGCCCCTCGATGACATGGCAGGTGACCTGGGGTTGAACCAAAGGCGAGGATGAGTCAGGGAGCAAGGAGGCAAGCCCATGGGAAACCAGCTGCCTGCACCTGGGCAACACGGATCTATTCAGTGTGAGGTTCTGAGATGAATGAAGGGCTGTCCCAGCTCCAGCAGAATTAGACTCTCGACTTGGCAAAGTTCCGAGAGCCCACAGACTGTGCCACCCTGCAGGGGGAGTGCCCTGCAGTCCTCCAGACCCAGGAGTCCTCACTGGCGTCCCACAGGCCGCACTTCCCAGGAGTCCTTACGGCAGGTCATCTTCATGTCTGCAACCTGCACAGGCTTAGAGGGGCCTGTTCGCAGCTGACCTTTGCGGACCCTCGGAACTTAACAATTTCTGAACACATTTATTTTATCCTGAGTCCTGCAAATTATTAGCCAGGATTCCCGCAGGGGCACCTTTCTCTGGGAAAAGAGCCTTTTCTTCTAGCTATTCTTGTTCTGTGGAGGTTGAGCAAGCAAAGGCTCTAGTCAGAAGTAGCCTGCCGGCATGAACCATCCATCTTCCCAGTCAGCCTTCCAGCCCCATTTCCTCTTCCCTTCTCTGAATTGGATTTTGTCACCATTTGATCAAACAATATTTATTGCGCACCAGCCACTCTATGCCAGGTACTGGGCAACACAGATATGAATAAAATCTGGACTCTCCCAGAGGCACACAGTGTGGTGGGGGAGACTGATAAGACCAAAATAACTATGAAAAAGAAAGGCTGAAACCTAAGGGAAAGCCATGCTTTGCAGGAAACGTCTTAATCATGAAATCATAAATTAAAAGCACATTTAAATACAAACAGCGTCTAGTTTTGCTTAGTCACATTCCTTTTGCATCAAACTACAAAGGATGCCTTGCCAGGTTGTCAGTCCCGGGATGTTTTGTGTAAGCTGATCCCACCTCACTGGCAGGGACCCTTCACATGAACCCCAGCGGCTGATCCCGGTGCCTCCCGATAGCATTATAATAAAGTTCACGTTATGGTTTTCCTCTAAATTAGTAAATTTTCCTACCGAGCAACTATTTTAGGTTTGTAGGCCACCCTGTTTCTGTTGTAACTCCTTACCTCCTGCTAAAGCACAACAGCCACAGACAGTAAGTAGGCAAATGGGCATGGCCACCATCCAGGAAAACTCCAAAGCAGGCGGCAGACTGCATTTGCCCAGCCGGCCTGTAATTTGCTGACCGCTCCTCTGCTTTATTCTAATTTAGATTAAACTGACCTAATTTGGATTCTCATTTGGCCTAGTAGAGGGTGTTTACTTGAAATAATGTAAGTGGGGCAGATTATGAAATCTAGATTATAACCAATTTTGTCATCTGGGCTACTTGAGCAAATGCCAGAGTCCCTACAGCATAGAGTGGGCTCGTTCCAGCTGGCTGATTTGAGAAGAATTTCATAAATACGGCGCCGTTTATACAGGCATAGGCGGGGCTTAAGGAAATCAAGAAGGAACACTGCCATACCTGTGGCTACTAACTCCAGAAAGTTCTTTCAGAGACAGGGAGAAATTTGTGGGACCCAAAGAGGGAAACAGTATGGAGAAAACATTTGATAAACAAACATAGTCACTGCTGTCAGACCCAAGAGACAGGCAGAGAAGAGAAGGCTGTGATTGCTCTGGGTAGGTCAGCCTCCCAAGGAGAAGAGCAGGAGGGGAGTGGAGAATGGACCCCAAGGGCACAGGAAAGGTCTCCGGCACAGCACCCTTTGGAAAGAGGCTGTGAGACTTGACCAGGAGGTCATCCTTTCACTCGGTGGATGTTTGTGCCTTATACTAAACTTTGTATTAGAATTTTATTTAGGGCACAATAAATGCAGTATGCGTAAACCAATAAACGCAATACATATAAACCAATAAATGCAATGTGTGTAAGGCAATAAATGCAATACATATAAGCCAATAAATACCAGGTGTGTTGCCGGGACTCTGACAGAAAACTCTGCAGGGCACAATAGAGGCACAAAAAAGAGGAAGGACCCAAATACTACTCCAAGATAAATGCCAGAAAATACAGATGCAGGTTGGGAAACATCTTCATTTCTGGAAGCCCAAAAGCCTCATTTGAGAGACCCCTAAAAAACAATAGAAACACTTAACTGAGGCTAAGTCACAAAAGTAACTTCACAGATCAGTTGTGGGGGCACTATAAAAGCATCTCAGAGACCCACCAACAGTATCCTTCTGCAATCCCGATAGTTGTCATTTCACTCTCACAAGTGTTGACCACAAAAAAGCTAAGCACAGTGACTGGAACAGTGAATAATGTAAGCTAAGAGGTCTCAGGTGGCAGTAAACAGAAACAACTAGCAAATAGATGCCCTCAGAAGTGCTCTAGCTTACTGCTTTGGTTGAACTGTTTAAAAAGCATATCACATAAAGCAATGTTCTTACTGGAATCGGTCTGACAGCAGTTCGTGATTATCTCCCCCAAGGAAATCACTAGTTTTTATCATCGCTTTTAATTATCATTTGTCTTCATTCTCTGGTGAATGCATCAATACTTGTCCTTCCCAAAACCCCAAAACAGAATTCTCTGAGCACCTTAAAACAGAGATATTCTGCAGGGGAGGAGGAGGGGGAAGGGATCAAAGTGAGGGTGGGAAGAGCAGGAGGGACTATGGAGATGGTGCACTAGTGAATTAGTGGTGGGAATTCCATGGGGACCACACCTGAGAAAGAAAGCAAGTTGTGCAAAAATAACAATGATATAAAATATATATCAATAATTAAGTTATATATTAAATAAAGGAATTACTTTCTAAAAAGCCTGTGACCAATCTTTTGTAAATCAAGGCCATATACATATAAATATATATGTTTATAATTATTTATATATATATAAATTATCTTTAAAATCAAGTCCAATAAAAATCTTTTCCTTTGAAAAAAAATTGTCATTATGATTTTACCCGAACAATTGGAGAAATGCCAGAGTACACTATTATCCACGCACAGGAAGTATTAAGTGGCCAGAAGAGACTTCCCCCATGACTGCTGGGGACATGGGTTACCAGTCCTGTCTACCAGCCCCTGCCATTCCCCTTAGTGACCAAAGGAGCAGTTTCAGCAGGTGGAGAGATAACACCCTTTGGGCTGGTCTGTCTGCCCCCCACAGGCTTAGGTTGAAAAGGCAAAATAAACCCAGAACACAAATG